TTAAAAGTGATTAAGTTAATTTATTTGCGATGTCAAGAGAGTGATTATTAATAAAACAGGATCAGGGTTTCGTGTAGAGGAACAGATGCATGGCTAGGAGTCTGAGGATCACAGCTCTAGTCATAGATGTGTAGATTGGACTTTATCTGCTTGTCATTTGTAAAAGTCAAGGTTTCTCTGGCTTCAGTTTTATCACCTCTGAGATAAAGAACTAAACTAGATTATATTAACAAACTATTCTAATTTTATTATTCCTAAAGCACTGAGGAAGGAACAACCTCAGTAGGGAAGCATACTCTGATGACATAAGTTATGATATATTTTGATGTGAAACTTACTGGGTCAGACAGACAAAGATACTATATGATGCTATATGGAGTTAACAATACAGGCACAAAGGTTCAGTTTTAGGGCTGTTTATATTTAACGTCACTGTGAACATATCATATAAAAATACATCCGTTTAGAAATCTCTGGTTTTTATTACTGTTTATAAGGCTGGTATAATCAGTCATCATGTTATGTTAAGCTTATCTTTTATGAATTCATAAAGTTTAAGGAAAGTCAAAAGTCCTGTGTGCAGATTTGATTTAAAATGACCATAAATGCTTTGACTTCATTTTACCATATTTGGAAATGTTAAAACCTATATTTGAAAACTTAAAATTTAATTCAGGAATTGTAGCTATTTTATGCTAAGAAATATTAAAATGTAGCAGGATGTTTTAAAATTGCAAACATTTAGTGTATCTTGGATAGTAAACACATATATTCTGATCTATGCAAGACTTGGTGAGGGTGGTCAACCAAGCTTCCTATTTCCTCACTTTCCTTCATATTTTTGCTTTCAGGGCCAACTTTTTCAGAAACAATGTTACTGTCAGACAAAAATAGAAGTGGAGTCACGTTTACCCTCTTGGGCTTCTCAGACTCCCCTTTCAGAAACTATGTTACTGTCAGACAAAAATAGAAGTGGAGTCACGTTTACCCTCTTGGGCTTCTCAGACTCCCCAGAACTCTAAGTCCCTCTCTTCTTGATTTTTCTGTTTCAATTGTATTTATGTTTTTGGTTTTTGGATGTTTGCATTAGTTATTCTCATCAAGTTAATTTACACAGTAAGATGTGAATGGATAAGAGAAATCCTTTGTTTTTCAAGAGAGAAGAAAAGGGATTGTGAGAATCCTAGGTGGGAAATGAGATCTAGAAAGAGATCTCAAATTCAAGGAATTCTCAGATAGACCAATTTTTTTTTTTTTTTTTTTTTTTTGTCTTTTTCCATGTCCGGCAACGGATCGCAACCCTCAGTGTCGCCACCGTACCGGACCGGGACCGGCAACGGGATCGCAACCCTCGGTGTCGCTCCCGCACCTCGCTCAGCCAGTGAGCGGGAACCGGTCTGTATGTGGGATCCGAACCCTCGGCGGGAGCGCCTCCGCGCTTCCCCAGCGGCGCACTAGCACAGTGCGCCACCGGGCCGGCCCCCAGATAGACAAATTTTAAGAACACAAATATAGGTTGTTGAGAAATGAAAAATAATTACCTATAATTAATTACATCCATAGAATTCTTGAAATATTTGATTTACCTAAGTACACACAGGATGTGGTTTGAGTGCTATTATTAGTTCAGATCAACATTACTGTGTAGAGTCAAGAATGAAAGACCTGGGAGAGATCCTGGAGGCATTCCCATTTAATGGTCTCTGGCACTCAGCAGGGAGGAAGCCACCCCAGTACCTCTCTGTAGCTGTGCTCTTCCTCACAGTCATGGGTGCTACAAACCACACAACAGCATATGGTGGCCTTCTCCTTGCGATTCTGTGTATGACTTTGGGCAAATTATACCTGTCTGTGCCTCAGTCACCTCATTTTCAAGGGGGCATAACAGTACCACCTCACTAATTTTTATAAAGCTGAAATGTGTTAATAGTTCTATCTAGAATAGTAACTTGAATATAGAAAGTGCTCAGTAAATGTGAGTAATTAATTTTATTCTCAGTAAAGGAGTTTTATTTCTGCCTCCACTTTCTGGCATTTGGAGGGACTCTGGCCTGGATTCAGACCCTATTCCTTTCTGGCTTCAGACCCTATCCCTTTTAGGAAGTAGGTATTGAGTATAAGACACAGAGTTTGTAAGATCTATTCATATTTCATAATAGCAATGTGAGTGTTGGCTCACAGGGACAATGCTTGGAAGCAGTGTGCAATGTTCTGAGGTTCATAATGAACTCTGGATGTAACTGTTAAATTATTATCATACATACCAAGTTGGGTTTCCACCCTTCTGCTCCCTGTTCGAATCCCATAATGATCAATAATTGTTCGAGTTCCAAGTTTTAGTAGTTTTCTTTTATTGATATCCCACAGAGATCAATGATTGCTCTGGGAACCTTACAGAGCATGGGCCTCAGGGATACACAAGCACAAACATAAAACCTATCTCTGTTTTCCATCACAGCATCTTAAGAAACAGGGGCAGCAAAATCTATCCCATGTGCTGTACTCTGGTTTGTTTTGTTTTGTTTTTTGGATGGATATCAATATTTTCTGGGAGTTGGAAACTTTTTTTTTCCTCATGGAGGTAATTCTTCAGTCATATGTAGAAGAAGATGGAATTATAGCAGCAATAAAAGAGTTTTAAAAATCTATCCTTTCTCTCCTTCTTAATTAGAGAATATTTTAGGAACTGCTAAGCTTTGAGTAGTCTGTTATGAAAACATGTTTTTCTTTGTGTATTAAGGGGTAATCTCAGAAATCTAGGAAAGGGGAATGATTTGATCTGTGGAACCAGGTATCTTGGAGCAGCTATTACTGTGAGAGAGAGAACAGTGTGAACAGGTTGGGATGAGGCTTCTTCTCTCTCCATTCTATTCTTTCTCTGTCACACTAACCCCCTCAATGCAACCTAGCAAGACCTCATGGAGATTCTCCTGACAGTCACTTTGATGCTGAGGGTGACAGTAAGAGTTCCACATGAATATTCATGGAGGGACAAGGACACGTGCTATTTCTGAAGCAGAAAGGAGAGAAATTATTGTGGCTTTGTGCAAAGGACTCTGAAATGTCTCTCTATAGCAGGTTTCTTGACTATGGCACTTTTGACATAATAATGGTCCAGATAATGTTTTGTTATGAGTGTTGGGGGTAGGGTTTTGTTGGGGTTGAGACCATGATGTGCAGTATACGTGTTTAGCAGCATTCACACTGCATGTGAGCAGCACCCCCTCCCATCCCCATGTGACAAAAAAAAAAACTGTCTCCAGACATTGACAAGATCCCATTGAGATCCAGGTCTCTCCTGGTAAAGAAGCACCACTCTATGAGCAATTAACAGCCTGAATTTTCATCTTTAGTCTTGAAAACAGGAGAGGATTTTAAAAATTATATACTACTTTTAACTCAGGAAAGGACAAATAACTCACTTTTTTTTTGTCTTTTTTCCGTGTCCGGCAACGGACCGCAACCCTCAGTGTCGCGCCCGTACCGGACCGGGACCGGCAACGGGATCACAACCCTCGGTGCTGCGCCCACCCCTCGCTCAGCCAGTGAGCAGGAACTGGTCTGTATGTGGGATCCAAACCCTCCGCGGGAGCGCCGCTGCGCTCCCAAGCGGTGCACTGTAGCAGTGAGCCACCGGGCCGGCCCCAAATAACTCACTTTTCATGGCTGCTTGATGAGAGAAAAACCATACTATAAAAATTATTTATTTTCATATGGGAATTTAGTAATGTATATACCATGCATATATTCTTCTGTCGAAGAACTGAAAAATGCCTGTCTGTATTGGTCTCTAGTCTGGATTCTCCTTCCTTTGGGAATACCCAACTGGTGCCTGTACAGCCATGTACGTCTCTGCCAAGGATCAGGGAGAGAGAGAATAAGTGACTGGCTTCTTACCATCTCTTTGCTCTTGTTAAGTGGCAAAAGCCTTGAAAGTAACTATCTCTTATTAAAAAATTCCACCCTCCTTCCCCATTTTACCCCATAATACTTATTTTTCATAGCAATGCAGGCAGGTATGTAGATCCCCATTCTATAACATAATGGGAATAAAAATATTTATGTTTTTGGATGTTGCGTGAATTAAATATACAATGCAAATTATGTATACATGCATAGTATACTACCTCTATGATAAGACTTGCTGTTTTTTTTAACTTTGCATTTTATCAATCATTTTTCATGTCATTAAAAACTATTTAAAATGATCATTTTAGTATCTGCATATTTTACCATTACAAATATGCCGTAATTTTGACCGTTTCCCTCTTATTCAATGCTATTTCTAAGTTTTTTTTATTATCAATAATACTGCAATGCAGCAGTGGGAATTGTTAAAAATAATTTTCTGTGCACATCTTTAATCAGTTCTGCAAATAGATTCAAAGCATTAAATTCATTTACCTAATAGATCTTTCTAAGGCTGAGGAGTCATAGTTACAAGAAGGTTGTAATCAAGAGCAACAACTTACTAAACCATAGGCAGTACTGAAGAGTATAATTAACAAGATCACAAAACTAATTATATAAAAAATTGCTAACAGACTATAAAAACTACATTTTCATGTAAAATGTACATATAAAATACATACACTTGTGACTTAACAAGCTTAGATAAGCATATATTTCACCACTTCAGTATTAAACTCAGAGAAGAGTACTTTATAATTTTAGAATTACTTCTGAAAATCCAAATAATTGGAGTATTGATTGAAGAGCCTGCCAGAAAAAAAGTATTTGAAGTTGGAAGAGCGATATGCCTAATTAAATAATGCGTTGACCTCTTTCACAGTGATTGAGTGTCAAGCTCTCAATTGTAAATGTCTAATTAAAAGTATCAGAGAGTTTCTTATAAATGTTAGCGTTTCTGTATGATCCCTGAAATAAACTGTGAGGTTTATGCATCTGTATTATACACTCTCTGAACATTTCGTAAATTATACAAAAGAAGTCCTATTTTTGGCTAATGAAATTAACTATCTTACTTCTTCTAATGTCTATTTATAGGAGAGAGACAAAACTAAATTTTAGATCATGTAATGGAGAATAATTTTTAGTTTTTACCTCCAGTCACAAATAAAGTGGGGACATGGGTGAGGAGAACTGCAGCACTGTGACAGAGTTCATTCTCCTTGGATTATCTGATGACCCTGAGCTGAGAGTCTTCCTCTTCCTGCTGTTCCTTCTCATCTACGGAGTCACAGTTTTGGCCAACCTGGGCGTGGTTGCACTGATTCGAGTCAGCTCTCGACTCCACACCCCCATGTACTTTTTCCTCAGCCACTTGTCCTTTGTGGATTTCTGCTACTCCTCAACCATTGTGCCAAAGATGCTGGCTAATATGTTAAACAAGGACAAAGCCATCTCCTTCCTGGGGTGCATGGTGCAATTCTACTTGTTTTGCACATTTGGAGTCACTGAGGTCTTCCTGCTGGCTGTGATGGCCTATGACCGCTATGTGGCCATCTGTAATCCAACCCAGCTCAGGCAATGGTGGGGATGCTGACAAAGTGGCCACAGTGTTCTACACTGTAGTGATTCCCATGCTGAACCCCATGATCTATAGCCTGAGGAACAGGGATGTGAAAGATGCTCTCACAAATGTGGTTGGATCCAAAATATATAATTAGAGAAGATGCGGTTAAATAGACTCAGAATTCAGAAGTGGAGGCTTGGGGAGGGGTTATGAGGTGAGCTGTAGCATTTGAATGGACAGAAGAGATGGAGCCAGGTAGTAACGAGTAACTTTTTTTGATTCTTTTATCTTTGTGTATCTCAAATTTGAAACAAGTATGATTGACTATATATCAAAATGGGCAGTCTGCTTCTTTGTTTTTCTTCAATCTATAATGTTTTAAATGGTTATGGGTAGTGGCACTATTAAGATACACATCTTTATTCAGTTGTAGAACTTCATGAGTAAAATGAAGAATAATACAGTCATACTCTAGTTTGGTAATCATCATGGAAACTACCATTTCTTTCAAAATTGATTTTATGTTATTTTATAATGAAGATAATACCATTTCAAACAGGGTGTGCACAGAATGGGAATTCCTCATATGTATATGTATTTTTTAATTTTTCTGGTTATTGTTTATATTTTAAAAATATTTTTGTTGCTGTCGTTACTGCAGTGTCCATTACTATGGAACTTTGGGTACTATGTCATCTGATGCATAGAAAAAAGAGTAATTATTTCACAGGTGTCTTAGGAAAATTGAATTACAAAGTTGAGGGCATGTACATGGAGCCCAGAATAATTCCTGGAACATAATTAGTGTTTCTTTCTCTCTCTCTCTCTCTCTCTCTCTCTCTCTCTCTCTCTCTCCATATACATGAAAAATCATTTAAAAAGTATCGTCATGAGTAGTAAGATTTCTGAGTTAAGCTTCTTCTCTCACTTGATCCCTACTCCTCATCTTCATGCTACCTCTACAATCAATTGTGGGTGAAATGCTTACTTTCAGTGAAAAGTGGACTTCTAATTCCTGTTCATGTTATTTACATGTGCCTTTGGTCTTTCTGAAATTACCACTTTTTCACCCTTGACCCACATCTCTTCATTCATTGCTTGTTCATATGTACTATTAACACTTTCTTTGTAAGTCCATTATGATTTATGTCAATTTCAACATTGCCTTTACTTGTTTAAATGAAGCTTCTCTTCTTGTGTCCATAATAATGTTAGAAGAGTAGTAGGCTTGAGATCATGAAAACCAGGATGGCTGTTACAGCTGAGGTTCCTTAATTTGTCAAGAAAATTGACTTCTTCAATCATCAGTTTCCTCCGTTTTAACACTGGCTAATACTGCTAACCTCATAGCATTTTACTAAGGTTAAATTTTAGCAACATATGAGTACTCACTGACAACTAGAAAGAGCTCAGTTAATGTGTGTGTAAATAAAGTCACTGGAGGAAGTGGATTTTAACATTTTTTCCTCTTTATCACTAGCATATGCTAAGTTTTATTTTTCTTTTTATTAAGTGGATAGATGAATAAATACTGCTGGATTAATGACATACATATTGTCATTTATATATAAATTTATAACACTTCCATTGTTTTCGGGAATTGTGAATTGATTGGGTCATGGACATGTAGATCTTGTTCTTTACTTCTATATTTTATGTCTTGGGTCTAATAAAATAATATACTCTAAGCAAATAAATCATCAAGAATTCTTTTATGATATATACATGTGGGATACAATGTTGACGTTCAGTAATTTTGTACAATGTGTGGTGTTTAAATCAGCATGGTAAGCTTATTCATCATTACAATACAGAATCATTCTTTTTGTCCATTGACCCATTCCTCATTAGCCCACCTCCTAAAGAAACATGTTTCCTATAATAGTATATCTCGGATATAATATAGCTGAAGAAGACTTTCTAATGCTGACTCCTATAAAAGGATAAATTATTTTTGTCCCACCTGAAAATTAGGGACAAAAGAGAAAAAAATATTGAAGAGGAACTTATAAAATAGAAACATCTAATTTCTTTTTTTTTTTTTTTTTCTGTCTTTGTCAGGACCAGTAAGGGGATCAGAACCCTTGGTGTGGTGTCGCCCGCACCACGCTCAGCCAGTGAGTGCACCGGCCAGTCCTATATAGGACCCGAACCTGTGGCGGGAGCGTCGCTGTGCTCCCAGCGCTGCACTCTCCCGAGTGTGCCACGGGGCTGGCCCAAAACATCTAATTTCTAAAGATGTTTTCAATTATTTTCTGTGAGTTTTCTGATCAACACTTTGCTTATATTTACACTGGGTGCTAGATGTTTTTCATAATGATTTACAGTACATTTCAAATTTAAAAAACATTAATTCCAAATGATAAGATATGCAAAAATCTAATTTGGTAATATCATTTAATTTTAGGTAGTAGGCAAACTGTGCAATAAGTAGTGTATCTTTTTAAGGATTTATAACAGAGTTTTTAAACTTAAAGAATAAATGGAATAAAAATAAATTTGAGTGTATTATATATTTTATCTCAAATTATATATTTTATCTCAAATTTACATGAGTTTTGGGCCGGCCCGGTGGCGCACTGTAGAGTGTGCTGCTTGGGATCCCATGTGGAGACCGGTTCCTGCTCACTGGCTGAGCACAGTGCAGGCGCAACACCGAGGGTTGTGATCCCGTTACTGGTCAGTAAAAAAAAAAAAAAGAAAATTACATGATTTTGACTTAAAATTGGAAGTTTTAAATTTAATGATATTTTGTATTTTTTTAAATGCACGAATGAATGCTTAGAAAGTAATTGTTCAGCTCCCATTCCCAAATGATATAACAATGACACAGCATTATTGTTGAGAATTTTTCCTTCCCTCCTGGAATGTATTATTTCATTAACATACATTCATTTCTAAATAAATTATGTTCTTAGCATTAATCTTTCAACGAGCCCCTGAAAGACATCTGTAGTTCCCATCCCAACTTTTAATAAAGAGTCTGGTTACACTGTTTATAATGCAATTTAACAGTAAAAACACAGATTTTATCTGACAGACCCATTGCTGCTATGCAAGACAGCACCATATCTTACTTCTCTTCTATCAGTTGTTGCCACAGTAATACATGGACAGAACTATACTGTACCTCTAGCTGCATATAGTAACTCTCAGTGTGGGGAGGGCATACTTCAATTAAAAGAAGATTAAATATCACCTTAATGGCAACAAACTGCAGTTTGTTATAAATATTTTGGCATTAGTTCATCTTATTTAATAGTCCCATTCCAAGAAATGAATTAACTCAACCATATGAGCATTTATTCTCTGCAGACTAAAAAGCCCTTTTCAACAGAAAAGTCAATAACCAGCAAAAAGTAATGTTCAGAATTTAAAAATGAACTAATCATGTCAATAAGGAGACTTCTTAAAAGCAGTGGAAATTAATTCCAGGGTTAAAATTGTCCATATTCTAAAATGCGTTCCAATTTAGTAACTTGTTCAATTCTTTTAGAACCACTTTGATGTTGTATGCACTCTAAGCATTAAAAATGTAGGAATAAGAGCTGGTTCAGGATATTTTTGGACTATGGCAAAACACACTTTATGCTTCCAATATTAATAACATTGATATCAGCTTTGAAGAAGAGTGCTTTTGCTTTATATTTTTATGTAGCTAGTGATGATATTTAGCTAAAGAACATACACAACAAACAAGCAGACAAACAACACTGCAGGTTCTGCTGCAGATTTTGCCTATGTCACTACCAGTGACTAAAGACAAATCTACCTACAGTTTCTGACCTCATAACATTTACTTTGAAAGACAGGACTTTCATAAGAGTAAATCCCATTTTACTTCCAAATTAGGCCTTCATATAGACATGATGATCATAGTTATGCAGATGAGGACAGTGTTTCCAAGTTTCTGAAATATTTCTTGCCATGGACCCTTCTTCTATGATCATTAGCATTGAGAGTTCAAGTCTTGCCAAATTCATCATCATCAAACATTTTCACAGGAAATATACTTAGCTGACTAAACTATGGCACAATGATTTACTTACCATTAATTGGAAGATATATCCAATCACAGGCAAATGCCAATGCTTCCTCTAGATTTCTGTCAGGAAAAAGTAAAATAGAGTCCAAACCACCATGCATTGTAAATTGAATTTACACAGCTCACTCAAGAAGTCCCAGGTATGAATATTTAATCTTATACCAAAGGACCAAAGTCGGTATAGTATAAACAAAATATCAGAAGACTGGAAGTTAAGACTTGTGATTTAAATTTAGCTTTAATAATAAGACATGGTCTTCAACAGTGGGCACTGTCTCACTGCTAACATGGAGAATACATATAATGAAAATATTTAAGATGATGGAAATAATTCTAAGGATTCTGTTTAATGCTACGTACGTACATACGTCTCCATTCTTGAGTAGATATGGAAATATGTGAGAACACACTGGTGAAAGAGAAATTGTTCCTGAACTCCAGAAAACCACACCCTAGTAAGAGGGAAAGTCATACAAATGCATAAACAGATAGTAACTGCATCATATAGTGGCCTGAGCAGTAGTTACATAAAGGCTGGTATCCAGACATTGTGGCCATCACAGAATAATTAACTTGGTCTGCAAGAGTCAAAAAATGTCTTATGGAAAGTTTCCCATTGCAGCGGTGTTTTGATGCATGAACAAGATGAATGGTAAGTTAAAGATGCCCAGTTTGATGAGACATTACATACTGTGGGCATATGCAGAACACGGTACATAGATAGGTAGTTACATTTATGGAGACTGAAATTTGAACAGCAGAGAGAGAAGGAATAAGTGTAGTAGAGAAGCCTTTGGATGTCACTTTTAGAAACGTACATGCATGCATAAGTGACTGACTGTCACTCAGCTTTACAAAATGGGGAATGACTTGGTCATTATACCTTTCACTTATTTATTTTACTTCAGTTTACACTTATTTAATGTATTTCATTTTAAAACAAGTGATATATTTGTTTCTCAGTCATGCAAAAAATCCTAGTATA